TGATAACGATATTACGATAAGCATTACTAAGCAAATTATTGGCAAATGTATTAATAAGCAAAAATTTTATTCGGTATATTAAAACTTCGGTAATCACGTGGCTATATGGGCGGTGATATCGCCTGCGGTTATAATTAGCAACTTTATAATTAGTTTCATCTGTCGAGTTACATCAATTCGAATGTCCCACATTACCGAATCAAATTATTTTCTATATATGGCTAATGCCGTTTTAAAAGATATATAAGTCATTTTTTTTTTTTTTGTGCTGTTCAAAGTGAAAAACTGAAAATTTAAAATGATAAAATTAAAATTTGTCATAATTTTTTTATGTTTATGTCGATGTATAAGTGCATATAAGCAATTATCCGAAAAAGGATATTCTCTTTTGGCAAATATGACAGAAATTGAGTCTCAACAACTCATTGAAGATTATTTAACTCCAATATTACTTCCTAGAGTTTCCGGTAGTGAAGGGAATCTTAAAGTACAAAAATATATTATTGAAAAGTTTCAATCATTAGGATGGAACGTAGAAGAAGACAAATTTACAGATTCAACACCAATAGGAGAAATCACTTTTAATAATATAATTGTAACCAAAGACATTAAGGCACCAAGGAAACTTGTATTAGCTGCTCATTATGATTCAAAATATTTTGAACCACCAAATGATGGATTTATTGGTGCCACTGATTCAGCCGTGTCTTGCGCTATGTTAATGGATTTAGCTTTTAGATTAGATCCTTATTTCGATAATAGAGATCCTGAATCTATCTCTACAACTCTTCAAATTATTTTCCTTGATGGTGAAGAAGCTTTTAAAAGCTGGACTGCTACGGATTCTCTTTATGGATCAAGGTACGAAAAGAAAAATAATGATATCTTAATGTTTAAAACTTTAACTGATTTATTATTTGATTTCTCTTAACAAAAGACATTTAGCGGCTAAGTGGGAAAACGAATATGTTGTAGAAACAGACGGTTCGCAAAATAAAGCTAAAAATGTACTCAGTAGTATTGAAGTGTTTGTATTATTAGATCTTTTGGGTTATAAAGAGCCATTAATATCAAATTTCTTTACAACAACTTCTTGGTTATTTATTGAATTATCTAAAATCGAGGCTCGTTTATTTAAAAGTAAATTACTTAAAACATCACATGACATGCATGGAATGCATGGAATGCAAGATCCCAAAGAAACCAAGTTGGAAGATATTTCATATTTTGATACAGATTCTATATACACTTACCAAGCTCATATTGAAGACGACTATATTCCTTTCTTACAAAGAGGCGTTCCTGTTTTACACGTTATTCCTTGGCCATTCCCCGAATGTTGGCATAAGCCTTCTGTATGTATTTAAATCATAAATTATTATTGGGAGAGATGAAAAGAAATTAATGGACCCCTTTTTTTTTTATTTTTTCAGGATAACGCTACTGCCGTTGATGAAGCAGCTTTTTTTAATCTAAACACTATATTTAGAATTTTTACTGCCGAATATTTAAATATTGATCCAAATTTACCAACAATTCCCCCCAAAAATTAATTTATTTAGATATGTAATATTGTTGTAAATTAGCAAGTATACAAGTAATATATATTTATTATTTATATAGATCAAGTTTTCTTATAACTAAAGATAGAAGTTCGTTTTTACAATTTGCTTTTCCGAATCATATCAACAAGTTCATCCGTTACTGTCCCTTCTTTTTTGATCGAATCCGGCGTTTTGGTAGCCTTTTCAGCTTTCTTGTCTAAATAAAAAAAAAAAATTAAATTAAGACCGTTCGAAATAATGCGCAATAAAAATTTAAAACCTTTATTAACATTCATACGACCTGAAGCCGCATCACGCTCAGATTCTCCAGCTAATTTATCAGATTCACCTTCATTTATCAATCTTTCATTATTAATAACTTTACCAATATTTTCTTTAGCGATACCTTCATAATATTTTAACCCTCCTAATAATCTTGAAGGTTTGCTTTCTGGCATTTTTTTTTTTTTTTTTTTAAAAAAAAAAAGTTTGGAATCGAGGGAAGCCGGGGGGGGGGGGGTTTTTTTTTTTTTCGTTGGGAAATTATTTATTTTATATTAATTCATCTTTAAAAAAATAATGATGTAAAAATGTCGTATTAAATTTTAGTGCGAATTTACGTATGAAGTACATTCTACGTAAGGAAGATGATGAAGAATTAACGCAAGTATCGGCGTTAGTAGTTCTCGGTCGGGAAACGTTTCAATTCATCCAACTACGGAACTGGTTACGCGTCAGTCCAATTTAATAAACTGAAAGAAAAACTAGGAAAAATGAGATTTAAAACATAAATATCTAATAATCTATATCAATACCATATTAACCTAACAATTACTTGCTTAAGCAGCTGTATTCGAACGGCCAAGAGATGGTCGTGGACCACAGGAATTCTTTAAAACATAAATTTAGCCAATATTACTATATAATTCGGTCAGAATTAAAAAAAAAAATTTCTTTAGTAAATACGAAAAACGAGTCATGTTTTATATATAAAATTATTATGTGTTAGTAGGGTTAGCTTAATGTCTAGTTATACAAATTAGGTTGTTATTTATCACACAGCATCATGCCTTTACTATTATTAATTAATCTGGAAAACTCGGAAAATTTTTTATATTTGTTCATCATAGTGTTGTAATAATATTCTTTCTTTAGATTATAAAATAAAAAAGAAAGTGATAATTAAATCTAATCTAAGCAATTTGACTTAAAAAAAAAAAAGATTATACTAAACTTTTTGCTAAAATTTGTAAATTTAACTATTAAGATACTATTCCCTTAGATTGTTGAGATTCGCAGGCATCTACTTTTATGAAAAATTAAAAATTTTTTTTTAAATTATTTTACTTAAATATTATCATTGACATTTAACAATCTTATTAATATTCACTTTTAGCAACATTAATTAGAATATTTTAAAATTTATCATGAAGAATAATTTTAATTATTATATTTATTAAGAAATTTTATAACTTTTTAATAGTAGTAATGATTCAACTAGTTTGTAAATATATGAAATTTTAAAAAATTTATAATAAATTTTTTAAACTTTAATTTTAAAAATTGATTTATTTAAAAACTTCTTAATAAACCTAAAATTTCTTTAATAAAGTTGATAAAATATATATTAAAAGATTAAGGCTAATTTTCATCTAGATAATCATATATAAATTTACCTATCTATAGAATTAGGATTATTTTGAATTAGATTTAGACATAGAAGTAGGATTTGTTAAGGATTAGGTTTAGATTTAAGATTTATTTAATACAACATGTCCTCTGTTTCTTATTTTTAATAATTAATCAGAATAATTAATCAGAGAACTTAAAAAATTTTTATTGCTAAAAATTCTATTTATATATTATATAGGTGATTTCAACTGGGAAGCAAGTTAGGAAAAAATATATTAAAATATATTCATATAATTACTAAATTACTAAATTAATATTTAATTATTTTATTAAGAATTAATATTTTTTTTAGGTTTTTAAGCAAATTTACATGTTAAATAATCTAAGGAATAAGAAAAAATATTTTAATTTAAAGTAAATTTATAAATTTTATATCAAATATTTTAAACCATATATTTTAAACTTTTGAATGCTATATTATAAATAGGTTTAAATATTAATTAAAATAATTCAATTAGAAATATTAATAGATATAATTTAACTAAAAAATAGAGACTATTATTAAGTCTAAAAAATCTTAACTAAAATGCAAAACTTTTTATACAATTGCAAAACCAATCAGCATCAACTTAATTATTAAGTAAATAGATAATAAGATATCTCATATAACCTGAATTAATACATATATAGTAGCGATTATAAGTATCTGACCACCCAAGATCGTCTAAAATTATTATATAACTACCCCTTAAATTTTCCAGAAATATAATGTAACACAATACATGATCACCTGT